ACGATAGAGGAGGATGCATGCAGATACATGGGGCGAGAGTTGAGAGAGAATGATAGCTAGATACGATAGAGGAGGCTGCATGCAGATACATGGGGCGAGAGTTGAGAGAGAATGATAGCTAGATACGATAGAGGAGGATGCATGCAGATGCATGGGGCGAGAGTTGAGAGAGAATGATAGCTAGATACGATAGAGGAGGATGCATGCAGATGCATGGGGCGAGAGTTGAGAGAGAATGCTATCGTATCTAGCTATAAGGAGGATGCATGCAGATACATGGGGCGAGAGTTGAGAGAGAATGGGACAATCCAAAGACTTTTCAATCCTCACAATTTCTTGCCGTATGAGAAAGAGGAATGTTTAGGAGCGAAAACTACAGGTGTAACTTGTNGTAGATATACAGATATTCATCCATATATCTATATGTAGATATACAGATATTTATCTATATATTTATACATAGATATATAGATATTTATCTATATATTTATATGTAGATATATAGATATTCATCCATATATCTATACATAGATCGTAGATCCAGAGTCGACCGCTACCATCGCTTACAACACCAGCGTGAGTGCCCCCATCAACAGACCGATCCCGCCGGCGACGGTGGCGACACCTGATGAGATATCAGCGCGGTCCGACTTGAGCATCTGCTCTTGCTTGTGACTGAACTCCTTCTCCTTCTCGACCTCGTTGATCGGCGGCGGCTTCTGGGGCACGGCGGGGGCGGCCGGGAGTCTGGGCGGTGGGCACTCGGCCGTTGCTAGGCTCGGCTCGCTGACACCGATCTCGGACAGAGCGAGCAGACGGAGTCTGTAGGTGCCGACGATAGGCAGACGAGCTGTGAGCCTGAACCTGCGCAGAGCAAGCATGAAGCTTAGCGATATAGCAATAACCTGCGCAGAGCAAGCGCAAAGCTTAGCGATATAGCAATAACCTGCGCAGAGCAAGCGTGAAGCTTAGCGATACAGCGAGCGCAAACCCTTCCACGAGTCCTCGCGAGTCGGTTAAAAATTTCTCGTGAAAAATCAGTGTTGAGACATATCCTAGTGCGATCTCGTTGTAGCATGCGTACAGAAACCGACAGGGATCGAGAGCAAATAATATAGGCTCTCAATAGAACTAATACATTAATACATACAGCATTGATAATGATAAATTACTAAATAATAATATAATAAAGAACTAATTTATACATTTATTTAATATTAATCATTACGATAATCATTAAATAACACCATTATTACTATAATAAATTACTACCTATTTAATACAACCATAGCCAGTTAACTATCATGATTTTTAACGATCACGACGGAGATCGACGCGGGATCAATCAATCAATCAATCAATCAATCAATCAATCGAAATCGATACGAATCAATCAATCAATCAATGCGAATGCAATCATGCGATCGATCAATATACGTATATACCGAGTCTCCAGCACAGTCATGCGTACAGCATGCTCGTCCCACTCGGACGTTCTGCGTCGTATGTGTTGATGCACCTCGGAACGATATAGTTGATGATGGGATACGCAGAAAGGCCGGACGCCCGAGCGCCAGGATGATCTCGCGCTAGGCGGCTTCTTTCTTCCTTGCAGGGCTGTTTGTTATCATGCCGTTGGAGCAGCGACTGAAAAGATGGCACCTCCTGCGGCGCCACGGGGACACCTGGTAGGCGAGAGGGAAGCCTGCGTTAGAACGATCGGTGTTTTAGGGGAAAGATGTTAAATGAGTGGGTATGATAGCTAGTGATGGTCTGAATTTCATAATCGATTATCGGTTTCCCTTCACCGATCGATTAAAGCGATTAAAATAATCGGCATAATCGGTTAATAATGAGCATAGATTTAATTTATCTAACTTTGTAAAAATATATAGCAATTAATACATAGCATTCAATATTAGTCATGTTTGTATGATCATGTATTAGATTTAATTCTGGTGAAGGTTGTTTCTGTAATGTATATCAGTGTCCTGTCTTCCTAATAGCAAGGTAATTTAATAATCATATTTAAAAATAAATGGTGTTAAATCGCCTTTAATTAAACATTAAAAGTACATTGCTCGTAGTCAATTAACATTAGTTTGTAAGAGTTATCGAGCATTAACATTAGCATTACTTTACGATGTTTCTGACAATGGGCCCCCCTGCAGGAACTTGTGCTCTAACTTGTCATATCAATTCAGCACGATCGTGAGTAGCATGTTCCTTTGTTTAGTTTGTTCTGGTAATTCCGATAATCGATTTATTGTGTTTTTATAATGCCGAAGTTATGCGAATTTGAGACTATAATCGATCGATTTTTCGATATATATCGATCATTGGACATCACCGCCAAGGTCGGGCGTACTCGGAATTAAATTGATAGCTAGATACGATGAGGAGGATGCATGGCAGATGCAATGGGGCGAGAGTTTGAAGAGAAGAATGGGAGCATATCCAAAGAAACTTCAAAATGCATCAGCAATTTCTGCCGTAATTGAGAAAAGAGGAATGTTTAGGAGCGAAAACTCAGCAGGTGTAAGTTGTCCAGGATTGCAGAATATAATGTGTGGCCGTGCGAAAATATATTAAATAATGGTAAAGGGGAGGGAAGAGAGAGAGAGAGAGAGAGAGAAGAAGCGAGAGAGAGAGACGAGAGAGAGATAGAGAGAGAGAGAGAGAGAGAGGAGAGAGAGAGAGAGAGAGAGAGAGAAGGAGGAGGGGGGAGAGCGAGAGAGGAGAAGAGAGAGAGAAGAAGGGGGAAAGAGAGAGAGAGAGAGATAGAGAGGTGGTTTCATGTTTGATTCAATTCAGAGGGTCACTCACCCACAGTCTGAACGTCGGTTCTGTTTGTGCATTCGCCACAGTGGACTATGCCTACCTCTGTCTTCTCACTGTAATACGCAACGATAACTAAGACAAATGCACACAAGAAACGTATTATCATTATAAGGAATGTGAATCAAATAAAAGAAATATGAAAATTCTAAAAGACGTGGGATTTTATCCTTCAATGTGGTAAACCTGTCAACTATAAATAGATTATGATGGTAATACTGCTGGTGGTACTAATGTCATAGATAATACCAATTTCGTTAAGTATTCCATCAATATAATTCTATCAGGAGTATATGAATAAGAATCGATATATTCAATTTAATTCGTATTTAATTCATTTATTTCATTCTAAGTCTCTCCATACTCGACGGATTTCTGATAATAATAATAATGCTATAGCTGATAATGGCTCATGATATGATAATATGATATATATCTCACATGCAGTTCTTCATCTTAACGTAGCATTCGTTGTTGTATGTGTCGCCCTCGGAGCCACACACAGGTATGGCCTGCTGGGGGCAGACAGGGCAGTCTGAAACAAAGATGGCAGCCATTAAACACCTCATAACATGCAAACAGCAATTCGTTGGCGGCATCGCGCGCAACACGTTCTATAGTCTGTAGTCTAGTCTGTAGTTGATGCACGCACGCACACCCACGCACGCACGCACGCACATACGTACGCGCAGACAAACTCACACATGCCACGCACATTACCACGCCTGCCAGAATAACACACCCACGCCCACACTTGCACGCACACGCACGCACATACACACGACGGGCCTACACACACGCAAGCACATACACCAAAACCTGCAGATAACATACCCACGCCATACGCACGCACGCACATACACACTGGACGGGGCTCGCACACGCAAGACACATACACACCTGCAGGTAATAACACACCACGCACACGCACACACGTGCCACGCACAGCCACGCACATTACGACAGGGACGGGCCCACACGCAAGCACATACACACCTGCCAGCAATAAACACACCACGGCACCCTACGCACACACACGGACGGGACTCACACACGACAAGCACATACACACCTGCAGAATAACACACCCACGACCACACGTGCCACGCACGGAGTCACTTACGACAGGTAAATACCGGTGCATGCAACACACGCAACACACGCACCTACGTACCCACGCACCACGTGCACGCCATGGAGTCACTTATGCACGTACATACGATTGCATGCACACGCGAACCACGCACGGCACGCACCCACGCCACACTACGTGGCACGCGATGGAGTCAACTTACGCACGTACATACGTGCATGCCACGCACGAACACACGCACGTACGCACCCACGCACACACATGCACGCTGGAGTACTACCGCACGTACATACGTGCAATGCCCACAGCCTGCGAACACACGCACAGTAGGCCTACCGCGCACCAACGCACAACACGTGCATGCATGGAGTCACTTACACATGTACATAACTGCACGCCCACCCACGCACAGCACGTAGCACGCACAGAGTCACTTACGCATGTTGTACATACGTGCCACGCACACACAAACACACGCCACAATACGACACGCAACACGAGCACACCTTACCTAGCACCTGGTTAACGTAAGACGTTTAGCGAAGAATGTGTTGCCCCCGCCATCCAAGTGCCACGTTGGTAGCGTTACACTGGATAGACAAAACCGTCCATCTCTGCACTGCGTCGTCGAACACAGCCTTCTCTCCGTACTCTCCCCTGATCGCTGGCAAGGGAGGTCGGAGTTCTGCCCGATAGGAGAAACAGCACGGTAACGATGCAGGCATTCTCCAAAACAAATACAGAACGAGGAGCAGTCGTTAGCTGGAGAAACAAATAATGACACCAAGTAGCATGTAGGACCAATAACTTTTATACAGAGGTACTCTTCCATTCGTGGCAGGATCGAAAAGAATCAGGCTGCTTTTACAGTGACCTGCATTAACATCAATGATATTAATCTTTCTTAAAGATGGAGCACTGATAAGCGTTTTTGCATCCTGGGATGAGGAAGAATTACCCCTAGGGAGTTGTTGTTACATAAATTACATAATTAAGGTTCATTGCTAATATATTACATTATCTCTCATCCCTTATCATCAGTTTATATTGACTCGTGCGGCACACGCGTGCGTTTCTCACCTTGGGTTGGTGTAGATGCGGCAGCCGGTCCTTGTTACCACATGATGGCCACAGGGAGGCACGCCGCGACACGGGACACTCTAGCTCGTAGAAAAGCCGAAGCGTTGAGTCCGGTCGATGCAACGGCCACCCAAGGGTCGACGAAAGTACGGATGAGGGCTGCCATAGAGGCCAACAACAACACCATCTTGTAAGCTAATACAGGCAAGGGAGCGAGCGTACACTAGTACTGTTTATAGGTGCAGCGGACGTAAACTAGAGGCTGCAGATGGCGTGAGGGGATAGAGGTGGAGATCTTCAGTGGGAGACACGTCGTCTGAAGGCCCATTCCATTGATACATGCTTACATATTTTGCACAATCACGAACTTAGGTATCGCACATCTATTAAGGTAATTCGGAATAGATAAATTAGGAAGTCTTATTCCATCACAGGGTTTTAATATTTTTGTGCCATCTAATTGACTACTATTATTATTATCACAATCATCATCAATCCTTTATCATCTCCATCCTCATCCTTCATTCCTCATCCTCGATCATATTCAATCAGTCATCATCATCATCATCATTCATCATCAGTCATCATATCACCACCACCTTCATCACCACCATCATCTCATCATCACCCCCATCATCACACCATCATTCATCATTATCATCAATCATTCATCCACCACCATCATCACCACCTTCATCATAATCATCATCATCATCATCATAATCATGCATCATGATAACTTATTATCTCAGCGCTCCCTCTGCGCCAATACACTTACAGTCAGATGAAGACGTTGATGGCAGGGCCTCGGAGCCGACATCGATTTCGTCACCTCACACTCGTACTGTGCCCTTGATCGTAGTACGTTGCCGCGTGCGTTGGGGATCACATGCTCGTTGCTGTTCCGGGAACACTCATCGCCTTCTCGGCATCGTGTCGTTCACCGTTCCTCCATGTCACGCTGGGGGTCGGGCCTGCAGGGAGGAAGGGAGGGAGAGGTTAGTTTGTATGAGTGCATGTGGTGGGAGGAGGGAAGAGGGGAGAAGGGGGAGGCTTGTTAGTTTGTCATGAGTGCATGTGGTGGGAGGAGGATGGGAGGGGAGGGAGGGGAGGGTTAGTTTGTATGAGTGATGTGGTGGGAGGAGGAAGAGTGAGGGGGGAGGGGAAGGTTCGTAGTATTGTATGAGTGCATGTGGTGGGAGGAGGAAGAGGAGGGAGAGGGGGAAGGTTAGTTTGTATGAGTGCATGTGGTGGGAGGAGGAAGAGGAGGGAGAGGCCGGCGAAGCCGTTAAGTTTGTATGAGTGCATTGTGGTGTGGACGGTGGAAGTAGGAGGAGAGGGGGATAGGGCTTTGTTATGAGTGCAGGGTGTGGGGTGGGAGGGGAAAGAGGAGGAGAGGGAGAAGAGTTATGTTTGTATGAGTGCATGTGGTGGGAGGAGGAAGAGGAGGGGGAGGGGGAAGGTTTGTATGAGTGCATGTGGTGGGAGGAGGAAGAGGAGGGAGAGGGGGAAGCGTTAGTTTGTAATGATGGGGGGGGGGGGTCGAGAGGGGGGGGGCGGCACGGGGGCGGGGGGGCGCGCCGGGCGCGAGGCTGCGTGCGGGCCGGGGGGGAGGGCTTCCCGCGGGGTGCGAAAGAAGGAAGCGGTCCCGGCATCAGCGGGGCCGGCGGGCGCCGGGGGCACGGGGCGGGGGGTGATTGTGCATGTGGTGGGAGAGGAAGAGAGGGAGAGGGGGAAGCTTAGTTTGTATTGAGATGCATGTGGTGGGAGGCGAGTAAGAGGGGGGGGGGCGAGGGTTAGTTGTATGGACCGTGATGTCGGTGGGAGGAGGATGGAGGGGCAGGGAGGTGGAAGAGGAGGGGGAGGGGGAAGGTTTGTATGAGTGCATGTGGTGAAAGGAGGAAGAGGGGAGGGAGGGGGAGGGTTAGTTTTTGCGGGGAAGGAATGGTATCGGGTAGTTCGGTGTGGGAGTGCAAGTGGATGAATTGACGTGTCAGTGAGATAGTCGCGGTAAGTGATGATTGTGAACAAGACACGTGCACGCCTGTTGAGTGAATGTGTGTGTGTGGGGGTGGGGGGGGGGGTGCGCAGTGCGTGTGTGTATGCGTGCATGTCCGGGGTGCACATGCAACTGTGTGTGTGTATACGACGTGTGTGTGGCGTGGGGTGCACATGCGCGTGCGTGCGTGCGTGCGTGCGCGTGTTTTACTACGTTACTTACAAGCCACCGAAGATGCATTGAAGGTGGATGACGTCACCGAAGAGGAACATCATTTCTAGATCCGGTGTTGACATTGGAACAGGCTTCAGTTCCTTCAGCGGAGCTGCATCTAAACAATAAAACACAATAATAATTGTTATTATTAAATGTTAATTATAATTAACAAGTTATTACTGCCCCCCTTGTATATTTTAACAGCGAGTTTTCGAGATCTTGTCACTTCACCAAGCAACAGCAGCATAGTAAACATGTATGGCCGTATTGCATCATACTCTGATCACTAACGAACCAATATCGTGACAACATGGCGACTAACGAACAATTATAATAGTTCATCAACTCGCTGCACGTCGCTGCCACACGCTAGCAACAATGAATGAGAAACCCACACGCACACACACACGCACACACGCACACACACACACGCACACACGTGCACACACACGCACACACGGACGGACGGCCAGACGGACGCACGCACGCACGCACGCACGCACGCACGCACGCACGCACGCACATACACACACACACACTGCTAATGACGTCGGATGAACGGATGAACGGACGGACGGACGCACGGACGCACGCACACGCACACGCATACACACACACGCGCGCACGGACACGCACACACACACACACACGCACAGACGGACGGACGGACGGACGTACGCACGCACGCACGCACGCACGCACGCACATACACACACACACACTGCTAATGACGTCGGATGAACGGATGAACGGACGGACGG